TTAATCCGTGCGCCGAATATGCCAAGGAGGAACAGTGTGCAGCTTTGCTACGGGCTCATGTCCCTTCGATAAAATCTTACACCCCTCTGAGGCCTGTACAATAGTGAATTTTTGGTTACTACTGGTAGTAGCACGCTTTACACAAGAGATGATGTTTTGATCGAAATTTGGCGAAATGTTACGTAATTCGAACACTTTACCCAGTGGACTTAAACGTGCCACTCCTCTAACATATTCGGGTCCAGCCATTGACTAAATGACGTTGAGCCAACAAAGTCATTATCGACGTCAAGTGCGGTGCCTTTGCAATCGACTGCTCTCGGTGCATTCTCACGTACCTTTACATACACATCAAAGGGATCTCGTCATTGATAACTCGGCCCTAGGCTACCCATGCTCTCAGCTAGCAGTGATTCTTTATCACAACGAGTAACACTCAATGACGTACGTTCCGTGTCACTTTGAGCGTAGCTCGTTAAGAATTAATGACGTAAGTTCCGTGTCACTAATTCGCAACGAGCTACGCTCAAAGTTCATGTTTTCAACATCAAATTTAATTATCTCAACCATGTTCAGAACATTAAAGTCTTCTGACTAAGATTTACGCCGCTACTGCTTTTTGTTGCTTGGCAAAGGTGGGTTCACGACTCTTCAAATATTTATGGGTATTTTGCGCGTAGCGCCTAAGGTCTTGTACGTTTAATCAATCCATGGCTCATACCGTTCAAGCCAGGCCATACCTGGAATAATATCACACCTTGAGTCCAAATTAAGGACACAACAGCATTCAATGCTGTCAAAGTCTGCAAAATTTTTACCTGTGTTCAGCGGAACTTCATGTGTGGTGACACGACTTTCAGTAGCTACACGAATCGTGACTAAATCAACATCATGCGCTGCAAGATCTTATGCATAACGCTGACTTTCTTCAAGGTGAGCATCGCAAGCATAAGTTCAAGACGCCCTAGAATCGATAAAAATTGAGAAAGGATTTTAACTTTTTTAACGTTCGTCTTAGCGAAAACAAGTCAAACTTGTATCCATGCTCCATACCAGTAGGTATAGAACGCAATGAGGCCAACCTATATTTAACGTGACATTCTATAGGTGTTTAAGATTCTAGCTCTTCCCCAGCAGGGCGGCCCGTGCCTACTGGATGTAGAACATTCCCCGTACCATGCCAGAATTCAGGCTCGTGGTGGAGGGTCTGCGTGTAGCCTGGAGCTGGACACACAAAAGGCAACCAGGACGCAAGTGTTTGGTGCGTCCGTAAGTATAACAACGTCGTACAACATGTTTCTACTCAGCATCTTAAACTTCAGCTTCACTTCGCAGTTTAGCATAAATAAGATCCATCGGTTCCGGCCTAATAACGGCGGAAGTACTCGTGGAGTTTGTTCTTGCAGAGCTGGGGTTGTACTCATTCCATCTAAATCTGGCCGACTTGAACTAATGCTCAGCAATAAGAGCAATTCTCGCAGCCTCTTTAGATGTAGAGGGGTGCCCGAAATACTTCGGTGTTCTGGTAGTGCCAGTACGTAGACACTCCATAATATATTTACGTGGACTGCCTCAGGCAGAGGGTCTCACTGAAAAGCAGCCATGAGAGCTCTCAGCTCTTGAAAAATGTCCGTTTGCTCATTCTCACCCTGAAGAAATGATAGAAAGTGTGAGACACGTGGTAAGCCTGGTTAGGTGGTGGAAAGACCTGTACTATTTGTGAATCAAGCGACTCTCACTTGGAGAACGCTAAGTCGACCGCCATGCTACACGTCGAAGCATAATCTCTCGCTCTTTCATCAAGCTTTAAAAAAGGCAGCGAGACCTGTTGATGGTTGAGCTTAATTAAACCTGATTTTATGGTCATCTCAATCTCACGGAATCAGAGAATGAGGTTTTACCTAGGATGAGGTTCGAAGTTGTTTTTAACACCCACTCTAAGTGGACAAGGCCTAGCATCTTTGTCTGGAACAGACACATAGCGTATAGGCATAGCTGAAGCCATTTTGTCGTTCCCCTTTCTATCATAGTACCGTTTCATACTTCAAATAGCCCTTAACACGTGCAGTCTGCACCTCCGGGCCTTGGGATACAAGCAATTCTACGTACTCTGGACCTAAAGATGCAATCAGCTTATACAGTGACTTTTTGGGCCTCAGAGAAATCAGGGACGTTTTCTATCCTCACAGAGGATCATTCCTCAACGACATAGGCAAAAAATACTTCTAGAGGTACTAAGTGCAGTGAGGATACACAGCTCCTTAAGTCAGAGAAAGTATGTTCTCAATGAGCAATATTATTTTTGAGGAACTAGACTCTTTGAATCAACAAGCGTAAAGCTTTAGGCCCCTGTTACAGGAATCCGAACGATTCAGTGAATCTATAGCACATAGTACTCAAGATTAGCAACCTCAAGGGGGTGTTGCTGACTATTAACGATCTACGATCAGAGACGCCTCTCAAGGCACTTATCGTAGACAGGATCAAAAGGGGAACTGAACTTTATTTATGTTTAACTATATAGAATATCTTAATACCAACATTACCTGATCGAGGCACTCAAGTCCTCAAAGATCTTCAAGATCTTTTTATCTTGTGGCTGACGCTCGTCGGCCGCTATAAACCGATAATATATATTCTATATCTCTCGCAGTGGGACACAATCCCGTTAGTCTACGAGACTAGGTACCGAATTCCCTACAATGTGTAATTTCATTACACAGAGACAGGTCAACGACTTGAAAGATAATGGCAGCGAGGTAAGGACCTGACAGATTGGGCAGCGATGTGAAAACGTGACAGTTGGGGCAAGAAGACACGGCTGCGACGTGGGACCACCGTATACTATGGGCAGGAAGGACAAATGTGTTAGAAGCTATTGTTTTTAACAGGTCGTTAAGGTCAAGGGCAATACCCTGTCACAAGATACGTAACAACCGTACCTGATCGGCTTACAGACTTGACATCCTGACAGATGGAACGAGGCGACGATATCGCCACGTCTGATCACCAGAATGTTACATCATGTGAAGACGAGGCGACGAGATTCCCATGTCGTCTTGTTGATGTCGTAACAGATGGGACGGATCGGGATAGACGTGAACTATAGACGGTATAGTTGCAGTCCGTTTCGCATGCATGTGTAGGTATTAATGAACGAGGAAAGTTAATACTTAAAATATATCACTTTTACTTCTACATCTTCTGCAACAAGTGCAACAAAACTAGTTCCAACCTTTAACAGAATGCCATTGAACAAATACATCGTCAACTTGCAGTGCAGTACTAGAGGTGCATGTCGTAGTATGAAAATGGACAATGGTAAAAAATTGCTAAATTTGTTCTACTTATACTGGTTAACTACCTTTGCACAAGTGCGGATCAAGACGCATCATGAAATACAGGAGGTCAGTCTTTTTACTATATTCATGGTCTCATCACACCAATGTGTTCGGTGCAATTTTAAAGTTCGTTCGCAGAAAACCGCATACCGTGACGATCCCGTGACTATGTCTGTCAGATACTCGAATGACCCAGTCGCGCATGTGCCACTTGCAGCGGTGTGGTCACTACAGTGGTGGTTTTCTATCGACTGTTATTTCATCCTCTGTGGACAGATGAGATAATTATATGCTAAATCAACCACGACAACATGCGCTCACGGCTCGCTTGACGTATTCGCGATTATGCTGCTTCCACAGATTTTGTTTGCAACCATCATTTTAAGTACTAAAATCGTCTTCGGTTCCATCAGAGCTTTTACATGCACCATGATGTCTTTCGTCTCTTTGCAATTCTTTTCGCGATGATATACATGTGGGAATAACTTGAGGAGGAGAGCAGTATATCGCTTCTGCGGCTCCTTTTGTCCGTCTTTACAGTTATTTACTCCTTGTGTCAGTCTTTACAGTTAGTTATTGACTTGCCTGCTCCGTGATTTCTGCTGTTTGATTTGTTTGGGCTGCTGTATCATAGGAGGCTCTGCTAGCCATGCAGACGCATACTTTCTCTACTTACGCCATGGATTACAAGTATAATCACAGATCGACAAACCATGCCCAATTTACATAAGTCTTGCAGAGCGTGATTGTCGTCTTCGACAACGCGAAGAATTCGAATATGACAGATGACTTGATGCGGTACATCTATACGTGTAGGATATGAGTCAAACCAAAGCGACGGATCTGAAACCTCGTGACGTTGTTCCGCAACCCACTAAACGCATTTACGTTATATCCACGTACGCTCTTTGCCACTTAATGACGAGGTCATGCCATTCTCGAATACCAAAGATGGACTTAAGAAGCCCTGGTAGCTCACATCTACCACCAACATGTGTCGAGGGCTTTTCGCTTCCTTAATGACCGACTGCAGTAAATCATCGTGATTAGCCAAGATGGTGCTAAGGTGATGCATCCAGTCGCCTTAGTAAAGTGATTTACGGAACGGAGTCAGCACGAGTCAGGAGCTATGCAAATGAAAAGCATGTTCAGCAGCTGATTGTGTATGTACGAAGAAGATAGACTAGCTTGTCTTGCAAAGACCTCTGTTACTTTGCATTAATATTGCCGAAGGGGCCACATGTCGGTATCGCGGTCTATAGTCAGCATGAGCACGAAATTCGAGGCATCAAGTATTAAAGTCGATATCTTAACAATACTTCACTATAGCAAGTCGAATGAGGGCAGCCGCACAATATAAATGTAGTCAGCAATTTGCTTAATCATACGGCATATCGGAGCAAGACATCAGCGGATCTAGCTTGTAATCATGCTGGTATCTGCTTAAAGTCCCACATACGACAGTAATACGACTTTGCATGTAAAGCGTCCGAACTTACAGCGCAAGGTCGGTTGGTGGCGTTGGAAAAGCATCCAATTCTGCTTGGATTCAGTTCAGCTGGAGAGATAATAACCGCAACTCTTCGTGTGTAAGCTCGACTTCCAACCTCTCAGTCTGCACGCCCGTGTAAGAATCATCTCATAACTACCAAAACTTTCTCATTCCATCCATACCTGCTTCGTCTTTGATCTCTCGTCCATCACGTCCAGCTGAAATATCGCCATTGGCTGCAAATATCCCGCACGCTTGCTGCTCCCCATTTGCAAGTGCAGACGCCAGTCCGTCTTTTGAAGCACCAGCGAGGGCATCCTGACCCTTTGAGCCGCATCAGCATGCTCTGCTTCTACGCTTCCTGCATTTTTCCATGCCTTCTCCACGGCATGCACCACGTTGTTGTTCACGCCATGCGACAACAATAAGTTTCGGTCGATGTGTCAAAAAGTAGCGGCATCTTCGAAGATGTAGCGGAGCTACACATCTCCTTAAGTCAGAGGAAGACTTAACGCTCTACGAGCAACTTAGTTCCAAAGAACTAACGACTTTACGAGTCAACAAGCTTTACAGCTTCAGATCCCTGTTTTAGGGGGACCTAACGATTCAGCGAATCGACAGCACTCAGTGCTCAAGAGTAGCTACCTCAAGGAGGTGTCGCTAGCTCTTAGTGATCAGTGATCAACGATCAAGACGGCTCGCAAGCCACGTGTCCTTCAGATCAAAATGGGAACTGATTTTATTTTTGTTAAAGCCTATAGGATATCTTAATCCTACTCAAAGATCTTTCGTATCTAATGGCTGACACTCGTCAGCCCCTACAAACCGATAAGATATTCTATATCACCTTCACAGAAGGGTACCCTCAGGTGTGTAACACCTCTGGTACGATATACCATAATTTCGTGCAACCCCGTTACACCGTCCCTTACCAGACTGACGTTTGCCAAAACGTTAATCGAACTTGTGTTCTCAGCGAGAACAGTGCGCGTACGGTGAACCTCACGGTAACGTACACTCTAGCACGATGTCCTCGTCACCGAATGAGTCAAAGGCTCTGTGTTACTATCTCGGAATAGAGAAGGAGGTGGACTATGGTAGCGATACCAGTGTCCGCAGTGATACAGGGACAATTTCCGACTCACTGATGCCTGAGGCACAACCTTCGAACACCCCCAATCCGTTCGCTGAACGTGCAGATGCGAGCGCTTAACCAGCGCAGCATGCAGCATCTGGGTCTGATGAGACTATCATCGCGAACCCGCTCGATGAGCAACAACAACTGCTTGTTCAAAGAGAAGAAAACGCTCAGCGTTATGCACAGATGACTGCAACCCTTGAACGCCAGCGTGACTATGTGTTCACCCCACCCAGTGTGGAGGAACGTCTGCGTCAAGCGGCCGGCCAAACATTGGCAACATGGGTCATTTGCCATGGGCCTAAGACTCCTGAGGAGGTGGTGAGCTGCAAGGCACTTCGTGAGACGTACCTGGAGCCGCACCTAACGACTCAAAGTCAGTACAAGGCACGCCTTGACATGCAAGCACGTGGTGCACCGGTTCCACCGATCAAGGGTATACCCATTCTCCTGCTCGCAGGCGAAACAGTGAGCGAAGAATACGATGCCTTTGTTCACTGGGTGCACTATGTGCGTCGCCTCAGCAACATTTTTGCTCTAAGGACTAGTGCCCATGCGGCGGATGTGCGTCTCAAACGCAAGCTTCGGTATGATTATGCCAAGCTTAAGACCAGAGGCCAATTGCGCAAGCGCACGCGCTATGCTTTGGCTACTAAGGTAGCCGCGAGTTCTGGTCAGTCTGTGGCCAACAACCCGCCAACCCGCATCTCTAGTGGTGGGGAACGGCCTCGGCCTCGAGATGACCATGGCCACGATGCTCAAAAGCCTCCAAAGCATATGGGCAGTCTTGCCGAAGGGGTACCTCAAATTCCCATGAGTTTTCAGACTCAGGGTACCTACGCCACTTTACCAGATACTGGTATTGGCCCTGACGACGACGTCGTTTCAGTAGTCTCTCGACATGAAATTGACGACACCCATGCTCATCGAGCAAAGTCAGTGGCGGCCGGTGTACCGGTGGAGGCCCACGAGAAATTGGTTCTCGAAGTGAAGGGTCTTCAAGAGGCCTTGGGTAAGTCCCAGTGCATGCTGGATGCGATGCAAAGCCGCCTTCAGGTGGTGGAGCAAGCTCAAACTCGGAGCGAGGCTCAGTTGGACTTGCTGATTCGTCTACAGCAATCCGGGGCAGTACCCTTGTCGTCGGCGCAAGCGCCTCCAAGTTCACATGGGAAGGATCCCGGTACGGCTTAAGTAAGCCTACGTAGAACACTGGATGTGTGCGCAATTTGCGCGGGAGGTTTAGCGTATACGCAAGTCCCTTCTTGGCCGTGACCGTAAAAGGTCTAATAAAGCGTGGACGCAACTTTGTCTTAAAGACAGCAGACACTACATTTGTAGGTAGATTTTTAGCATTGGGTAGTACTTGGTCTCCGACCTCATGACGTTCAATACAAATTCTTCTTTTGGCATCATCTTGTTGCTTTTAGGTATCTTGGCTATCAGCCATTGCGTCACGCACATGACGACCTGGACGCCAGGTGGCTACTGTTGAGCGCCGGGCGTCCAAGCAGTCACATAGTGACAATATGAACACACTATGTACACTTGTCAACTTAGTGACTGGCCAAGTCGATTGCAATGTAGGCCTGGACACCCTTCCTTTTTTAAGGGCTATTCATGATCTGGACGAAATATCTAATGGCGAGTTTAGCCAGGCCTTGAATGCAGGAGAATTATCCTATTAAGCGGTTAAATTAACTCGAAGGATAGTTGAACTCGTCCTCATTAATGGATGAGTTGGCTCTAGGTGACATTAAGGTGGCGCTTAGTGACCGGAATTTGTTATTGAATCCTAAGATCCTTTAGATCTATTCTGTCTTTTGGTAAATAAATTCTAAGATGTAGTTGTTACAATTAAGCATATGACTTCCCTCCCGATAGAGTCATGGATTCGACCTGGTTCCAGATAGATAAATTTCGCATCATACGGTAGTGGCTTTTACCTAAGAGGCAGTGTGAAGTCATTAATGATTTCTTTTGTGCAAAGCACGCGGCTAGAATGGTATGTGGCAAAGCGGTCACAAGGAAATTTTGATTGGGGCTTGGATCGGCGATCGCACAGGGCGCACGCTTCAGTCAAGCCAAGAATGCTATGATTGGTGGATACAAGCTGGGACGGGTAGCTGGCAAGAGCGTTCCCAGACCCCAAGATGACAGGATCATCCAGCCTGGGACGAGGCTAAAGGGTGGTCACACCCGTTTTGATTACGCAATCCGTCGTGAGACATAGCAAGACAAGACCCTCGATCTCACTGGAAGAACGCGATCCTAACCAGGATCGCAAGTTCGATCTTCAGCTGCGATCCGCTAACGGGATCACGATCCGCTAACAGGATCACGATCCGCTAGTAGGATCACGATCCGCTAGTAGGATCACGATCCGCTAACAGGATCACGATCCGCTAGTAGTATCACGATCCGCTAACAGGATCACGATCCGCTAACAGGATCACGATCCGCTAGTACGATCACGATTCACTAGTAGGATAACGACACGCTAGTAGGATCACGATCCGCTAGCAGGATCATAGGGATATCTTGGGTGGGCCACAAGAAGATACAACGGTTGATAAACTGGGTGTGGACCACACAAGTGCGAGGGGACGATCTTCCTGGAAAGGCGACGCGTGGCATCGGGTTAGGATATACGGATAGGCATAGGGTAGGGTTTAGGTTGGTTAGTTAACATTAAACAGAGTTCAAATTACTTCACAAGGCACACGTTATCTCTTCCGGGTAGGATCTTTGGCCCCCGTCGAATAAATAGTCGCGCTACACGTCTACGCAAGTGTCAAACCTGGATTGTTTTGGCCAGGTGTGTTCAAGAACTCTCAAGCAACATCAACTGCGATTGGACGAAGCAAGACACGTAAAGGCAAGGCGCAAGATCACGAGACGGCTCAAGTGGTCAGAAGGCTCGCGGATCAAGCAACCACATAGTGGACAAGTCGATTTCGTTGAGATCAGGATAACTTATATCAGTACCCGCAAGTACCCCGTGATTGCGTGAAGATTTCCGCACGATCACAATCCCATCCCCAACACGGTCAAGTTTTCCTTCGACACGAGTCCACCTGGAAGAGTGCAACCCGCCCTACCGACGGGCACACAAGGTGAGGAAGGCAATACACACGGAATCGGAGTAACCCCTCCGTTAGTCGGTCGTCCGGGCGCCAGTGGAGAGTTGGGATCGACTCATTAATTGAGCGATCGCCACTTCACCACAATGGTTCGCGTGCCCGGATTCGAATCAGGGATTTCACCGTGAGTCCTTAAGTGAAGAAGTAAAATTCAAGACTGAACCTGGGATGGAAGTGTTAGAGGCAAGGGATCGCCTCCGACGCGTATTTTTAAAGAATCTACAGATTATCAGAGTTTTGCGAGGAGCTCGGATAGCAAAAAATAAAAAGAGGAAGATCGATCGATCGATCGATCTGGAAGGTAAACCCTAAACCCCTCCTGAGGTTTCTTCGGGGACCGCCGCGGATCGTGCTGCAAAACACGATCCGATGAATAGAAACCCTTCAGCGAAAACTGAACAAAACTACACAAGACCACTCAGGCAATGTCAAAGAAGACGATTTTAAAGACAGATCGAGTGAATAAAGGAGAGCACAGATCGGATCGACACGATCGCGGCGTGAAAGCGATCGTGAAATCGATCAAGTTCGTGGACGAGGCTTTGGATATGAAGATGGAAGGCTGGCAGTTGGATCAAATAGCGCAGGAATTCCATTAGAAGGCGCTCAAGAATCTGCTATCGAGCGACTCCGTGCTACGGATACTGAATCCTAAGATAATCGGAGAGACACAAGGCCCTATATCCCGACCGAAGGTGGCGACTAGCGCAGTAAAACGGATCAGCGCGATCATCCAGCTGCTGCAAGATGCTGGATACGTCGCTGGGGCATTCGATGCGAATGAAATGCTGGAATGCGATCAGGATCAGGTGATCCATGCGTGTCGATCGCTGTATGACAAATTGATTCCTCTGACGGGTAAGTGCGAATCGGCGGATCAAGGGGATGCTACGATCGCCGATGTCCCGAGGGGGTATCATACCGAATCGTCACCATATGCCTCGGCGGAATCAGAGATGGAGTCGGACGATTCGGTTGCCATCCAGCGAATATCTTTAGGACCAAGTGGTGCAACACATCTCTGCGATCGAGTCGAGTCGGTGAAGCTGAATTCGCGATCGAAGGCCACAGGCGCTTAAGAGCAGATGACGACTACTAAGCAAGGACTCCTGCAGACATACCTCGACGAGGCCATAATTCGTTTTCGCCAAAATCAACGGGAACGAGCGTATCAATCGATCTAACCTAACCTAACCTAAAGAATCAAGCCTGCTAGATCCCGCGAAAGGTATACCCCCGATGTAGAGATGGAGTTGGTGCAGTCGCGCATCAGTCAACCGGAGGTTCCCGACCCTGACGACATCGATCCCGATGATTCGGGATAAGAAGATCGTAGACACGCTATGGTAGCTACGACCGAGACGTTGCAAGATGGTGGTAGCATAACTCAACGCATTCGAGTGTAGGCGATGACAGAGCTGAAAGAATTCAGTGGCAAGAATCAAGATGAAGATTGGGCAAGAAGCTGGATCAGCAAGGTCGAATCGGCCTTTTTGCGCGATCAAGCACCTGATAAGGAGAAGTGTTTATTGTTCGGAGATCTGCTGACAGGACCCGCTCGAAACTGGTGCAACTAACTAGGTCGATCCACTCGAAAGAAGTGGAAGATATTGCTGGATGAGTTTATGGTACAGTATGGAGGGCAAGGTGTGTCTATGGCCAGACGATACTATCTCGCACGGAAACGATCGGATAAAAATCCACAGGAGGATCTACACCGCCTAAATGTCGCAGCTTAGCATACCAAGATCGCGATCAGAGACGAGAGGATGGGCACATCGGACACACGTCGTGAACATGTGGAACATTGTATTGCCACGTTGGACGATCGCGATCTGGCCAAGCACCTGACCCTACTACGATTGGCCGAAGTCAATGAGTTGGATGAGACGTTACGTGCATGCCAAAGGATGGAGAGTCGTCAGTTGAAGACGTCGACTGAATCGAACAAGTTCTACCAGCGAGCGAATGCCTCCCCAAATCCTACGTCATCCAAGACTGCTCGGCTGGTGAGACAAATCCGTGAGCGGATCGAAAGAAGCGGATCGGAATCGGACTCGATTGGATCGGATGAAGACAAGGATCGCAGCCGAGTTTGTGTGACCACTACATCTGGTCAAGAGAGATCGGATCAAGATCATCGTACCTGGCAGAAGAATACTGGTGAAGAAGATGGACGTGATCGAGGTGGAAAACCGAAGGCATGCACCTACTTCGGATTGACGCGACATGATGATCGTGGATGCTGGCAGAGACTAACGTGCCAGAAGTGCGGTCGAAAAGGGCTCCATCGGACAAGTGCTTTTACGTTTTTCCAGCATGTGGAGAGGTACATGAGAATGGCAAATGCCCCATGGAAGATCTCTTTAACTTGATCCGCCATTGGTATGTGCCTACTAAGCATGCGGTCACGTTTCCTCCGAAGGTCGAGGAAATGTTGTAGTAGGACGCTCGCCAGGTTGGAATTTGGAACGAGCCGAGCGTTCTGGGCTATGTATATATGCATTTGTTGAGAAGAAGTCGGATTACCAAGGAGTTAACGATCGGCGCGATCCGATCTCTAATATATGTGATCGCTCGAAACGGACCACTTTAATATCAAGTGTGAAGCGAGTGGACTACTATGCCCGATCCCGATGGATATGGAGCTCGATCTCACCCCAGGTGAGTCGAGGGGATACTGGAAGTATCATATTCCGGGAGAATGGTCCAAACAAGCGAAAGCAGTGGGCAAGATCAACAATGAGAAGGCCGCTTTTCTGTTTGACTCTGGTGCGGAGATCTCGATCATTGACACTACCTTTGTTCGTAAGGTAGGGTGTGTGATAGACGAGAACGAAACAAAAGAATGTGTTGGGATCGGAGAGAGTACTTATATGACGGTAGGACGGACCAAGATCAAGATCACACTGAACGGATCACTAGTGTATTATTTTGATGTCTGGGTTGGGGATCAAGTCGGTCAAGAAGCTATACTAGGCATGGACTTCATGGTTCCTGCAGGTATCCGTTTGGATGTGGCCGACGGGACCTTTGCCCGCCCGATAAAGTTCGAATCTGTCCGGCTGGACAAAGACCACCGTACCGATCGAATATATCGGCGGTCAACATTAACGATCGACACACAGCTATTGCGAACGGCAGATCGGCAGAAGTCAGGATCGGCGTCGACCCTTCTAGAACTAAGATTTAGGTGCGACGGGATGTGGCGTGGATTCCTACCGTGACGAATGGTCCCGGAAGAATTTAGTTCCTGCAGATTAAAATGCAAGCGATAGTGATTTGATCTTAAACTGCGGGGCCCCTTTAGCGTTGTAAATGACAGAAGACATGATCCCGCTATCTAAAGGATACGTATCTATAGGATCGCGGCGGTACATGGAATGGCAGACATTGGCTTTTGAAGCCACTCAGATCGAGAAGAAGAAAAAGCCGAAGCCTACACGGGCCCGTTAGTGGATCATCCTACGTATGAGAAACCTACCCGGATTTTGACACGCTCAAAACGGAAATCAGACGGCATCAAGGATTCTGCAGAGATCGCCTCACTATCCGACTCCAATGGTGACTCTTATGAGGAGTTGCAGGAAGATTATACCGGTGGAAATAATAACGAAGACAAGGATGATAGATCGACAATGAGATCGTGTGCGGTCAACGCAGTGCGGAAGACGCCAGAACATTCAGGTGAAGAGGACATGGTTGCAGAGGAGGCTATGACACCAAAAGACAATCATGAGATAAATGATCCGCTACAAGGACAGTCCAACCGTCACCCAGACGGGATCAAGGTTGAATATCGGGAGGTGCATGTCCAGTCTACACGACTGGATGATGACGTGAAAGCTGTTACGAACGACGGCGAAGTGATGCAAAATGATGAACCGGATGAATCAACATACTACCACAAGTGAGGTGAACTGTTCGCGGAAGATGTGGAACAAGTAACCATATCTACGACCGAGATAACAGTAGTCGATGTCCAGGTTGGCAATCCTGGAATACCCTTGACAGAGAATCAAGAGGATTTGCAACGACTGATATGGAAGAGTCGTCACCTGTTGATCGGGATAGGAAATTTTATTACCCTCTGCAGGACGCGGGGCCGTTTGATTATTAATGTAAGAAAGGCGAGGCCGATCGCTCAGCGTATACGACCTGTTGCACCAAAGTTTCGTGAGAAGTTGGCCGATCTGATAAAAGGCCTGTTGTCAGCCAAGATTATCCAACCTTCGACATCGCCGTGGGCATCACCAATAGTCGTGATTATTAGGAAAATAGAGAAGATATCCGACTGTGTATCGACTATCGACGAGTTAATCAGCTAACACAGCTGATGGTGTACCCTATGCCACTTATCAGTGAATTGATGCAGGACATGGACAAAGCAATGTTATTGTTTGCTGAACATGGCGAGTGGATTTTGGGTGGTAGAGATGACCAAACGAGCAAGATCGATATCTGTGTTTATCACGCCGTCAGGTCTGTTTAAATGGTTGCGGATGCCTTTTGGATTGAAGAACGTCCCACAGATCTATCAGCGTTAAATTGATAATGCTCTATATGGTTATCTCAACATCGGCGCAGATAAGGATGCGAATGCAATGGATCATCCTAAGTTGACTGATGTGTTTACTGAGGGAGAGACGGAAACGGATCAAGCGCCGTCAGTGCTGGGCAGGAGATCTTATTGACGATATATTAATCCCGGCTTCCTCATGGACATCTCTGTACGACAAGGTCGAAAGATTATCGACAGCATTCGATCGATGAATTTTGTCGATCAGTCTGACCAAGAGTTTTTACGGACGGCGTAAGGTGGATTACTTAGGTCATCAGGTATCTTTGGCTGGGTTGGAGGCCGATCCTAAAGATTCAGGATCGCTAATTTAAATTCCTTTTCCCACAACTTTGCGATCCATGCAATCGTTCCTGGGTAGCTTGAACTATTACAGTCACATTTAAAAAAAATTTGCAGCATATACATCTGTGTTGTACGAGGTACGAGAGGCACATTTTTCAAGATGATCCATGTAGGAGATCGTGATGCGATGTCGGAAAGTTGCGATAACACATGACAAGGGGGTAAGCATGATCCAAAAGAGCGATCTCGGTGGGAAAGGGCCGCCATTGCATTTTCTTTGTTGAAGGCCAAGATCGCTACAACCCCGATCCTCAAACATTTTAATCCAGATCGACTTCCAGTGATCGTGGTATGTGCTAGTAAGTGGGCAGTATCGGCATCTCTATCGCAAGAATATGACGGCGTATACTGGCCGGTGACATTCATGAGTCGCACACTGAATCCTAATGAAGTTAAATATGGTATGGTAGAAAAAGAAGGTTTAGCCCTACTTCGAATCTTGATAGTGTGCTACACCATGCTAGTATTTCGAGAGATCATGGTGCTCACTCGATATTCGGCATTAGCTTGGCCAGTTCAATCTTCTGGCCTCAATAGGAGACTGGGAAGATAGGCTGCACTGCTATCGAATTGGACACTGGAGGTCAAGAGATGTAACAAAGGAGAGGATGAAATACCAGGCGCTCTCGCTGCTAGAATAAATCCGCAGATGAGGTAGATGATGTATTAATTGCGATCGCTCCACAGAAGAATCATAAACAATTGGTAACTATGCTACCTTCCACGGTAAGTACGGATGAATGCCTGTTGGTGGTCAGTTTCGACGGATCGACACGGACTAAACGAAAGAGCGGGGCATATAGTGCGATCGTGTAGAAGCTACCAGAATGGACCATCATCTCAGCCATTTCAGAATACGCGGCAGATCTGACGGTGAATGCAGCACAATATCGTGGCACGTTGTTGGGTCTCGGTCTGCTGGACAACCAAACTAGGGGACGAGTCATTATATGTGGTGACTCAAACCTAGTGATCAGGCAAATGCGGGGAGAGATGGATTGTAAAGCGCCCGGGCTACAGTTATTGCGTCATAAAGCAATGCGGAAACTTCGACTATGGCCAAAACACGAGTTCCTTCACGTGAAGAGGGAGTGGAACCAAAGTGCGGATCGACTAGCCAGTGCAGCTTTGCAGCAAGAGGAAGGTGTCATTGTGAACTTAGATCAAGAATTGCAAGATTTGGTATCACTTAACAGGCTGCACGAGTTGCTTCTGCCGGAAAGGACAAATCGCGTGGTGAAATGATAGCGATCACACGATCCGCGCGGCGAAGACGTCAACGACCCGAAGTTTTACAAGAAGAAATATTGCAGCGGATGCGGATCTAGCGGAAAAACAAGCGCAAGAGGAAGAGAGCTGGATTGCCAACCTGAAGGAATATCTCGTGGGCAATATGACCCGGTTAAACGCAGAGGATGCAAAATTATGCGCTCGGATTGATCCAGACTATGAAGTGGACGAAAAAGGATTGCTGTTCTTCAGCCCCCGATCCGCTAAGGAATTGGACGATCGTATAGAGATGGTCCGTCTGGTTGTACCAGAATTATTGTAGCAAGATTTTATTCATCATTACCACACAAGCTTGGAGGGTGGTGACCAGTGGATCGGGAGGACTTATCAGCGGATCAGATCTAATTTTCACTGGAGAGGATTGTATCGGAGTATACAACGATGTGTAGGCGAACGCGTGGACTCTACAACCGGGAAGGGTCTACCCGCGATCCGCGGCAGATCCCTGGGAAGTATGCAGGCTACATACCCATTTCAGGTGATCACGATAAATCGTATCTTATCATTGCCGCGGTCATTTAAAGGAAACACAAAGCTGCTGCTGTGGGTAGAACTTCTCTTAGGATATGTGATCGCGAGAGCAAGTTCGTTGAGGACCGCGCAAACGATCGCTGAAGGATATGAAGAATATGTGTTTTGATGATTTGGAGCCATTGAAGTTATACGTCACGACAGGGAGCCTGGATTTATGTCCGACTTTTTTCGAGCAATTATTTTGATCGCAGGGCAAAAGCAACGTGCTACCATGGCGTACCGACCGTAAGCGAACGGAACTGCGGAGCGTATGGTACAGACGTTTACTCGGTCGACTAAGATGTAAGTCACGGACGTAGAAAATAAAGACTGGGATTAATATGCAGAAAGATTGATATTCGCCATGAATACGGCACAAGATCGAATCCGTGGAGACACTCCGTTCTATTTGATCCATAGCTGGGATCCAAGATCGACATAGGAAGCAACATTACTGTTGGGAAGCACTAAAACACGCGATGCTGACCCTAGAAGGTGGCGATAAAACGTCCAATGTCAATATCAGAGGGCAAGAGTAATGGTAAACGAACGTCTCAAGATCGCGATCCGAGATCGAGCGGATCGACACAATGACAATAATGAAGTGCGTGATATTAAGTGCGGACCGCAAGTTTGGCTCTACTTGGACCGAGTCAAAGACGGCTATGCTCGAAAGTTAGCACATATGGGGCGTGGACCGTTCCGAGTGGCGGAGTTATGTGGGGAACATGCTGTTCGGGTGGAGATTTCAGGGTCTCCTTACCGATTGTTCCCAATAGTGCACGTCTCCAAGTTACAGCCAGTAATACAGGTTCCCGATCGCCCAGGCAGTGTGCTAGTGACTAACTGTAAGGATCGTGTGGATTTCGATGAGTCGTTGTTGCCGGAAGATAGTTGGGAAAACGAGTTGGCTGCTGACGAATACGAAGTGGAGAAAAATTTGGATGCACAATCAGGAAGTAAAACTCGTTGTGGTCGAGTGATCGACAGTTGTTGGTTCAATGAAAGCTACGTGACGACCCGACCTGGATCGACGAAGCGGACCCTATTGGGGATACATTTCAATTGGTAGAAAGTATGTTTTGCAAATATAAGCTTATTGGTTCGAATCCGATTATCTCCATATTCTTATTTATGTTATTAAAAATTTTGTGCAAAAATTTTAACCAAAGTTATTATTTCAGAACTTAAAAAGAACAGATTAACGTTAAAAATTATTTCTAAAAAATGTAAATTAAAAAAACAAATATCTCGGCAAAATGACTTCGTAACTTCGGGATAAAAGGTACCTAATTTTTTTAGGTGTCAAAAAATAGGGGGTTGCGACTGTTTAATAACAACTTAGGAATCTGCTAAATGGTAACATGATGTATAGGGTCTGACACCTGCCCGGTGCTGGAAGATTTAAAGCTTCAAATCGATTTATTAGTTCGCATTTTACTTTTCCTTTTATTATAGTTGGAGCGGCATTATACATTAAATTTTGCTACATGAAGTTGTATCAAATAATCCTTTAGGGATTTCGAGCGCAGCCGTGCGAGTCAAAACCGGTTTGAAGTTACGCAGTCCTATGAGAAGGAAACCGAAGATTGACGGGTAACCGAAGCAATGAGCGGTTGGCGCATGCTGAAAGATGGACGTGAAATGGTGGATGGGCATATGTACAAGGAGGTTGTATGAGATAATAGATCGGGGCCATATTTAAAACGAGTGGCGATAGCGGATCAAAGGGATCCGATTGCGGTTGGAAAGACGAAGAAAAGAAGTTGATCTCGAGATGAAGAACAAGATGAAGGATCAGGGGAGATTGTATTGAATTATGGAATTATCTGAATTGAATACTAGCGATCAAGCAGGAAAGAATTTACTTGGCAATCGTACGATCGACTATCCGGGGTGTTCGGCGATAAAGGATCGACACTGGGAACGCCAAGGTAGAGCGGCATTCAGCAACGGGAGAGCAGAAATCAAATTGGGGATGCCCTTCGGTTTGCTTCCCAGGCCAGGATACCAAGGGGAAACCTCTTTGAAAGAAGGGAGGTGCAGAAAGAAGGGATCCAACAGAATGTCCAGAAAACAATGATATTCAATCATACCTTGCAAGATAAATCGAAGGATCGCCTTCCACCGAGGCCCAGCTTGCGACCGACGCTTCTTTTCCTGGTCGGCCTGGAGCCCCGCTACTTA